TTTACTTTAAATTTATTTACATAATGTTGTCCCATTGTCCTTGAAAAATGCGACGTCTGTCAGGATTCCATCTGATGAATACACCTAAAGTGGTGAAGGGTATCAAATAGACGGCCCCGTCCGACTTTAACACTTTCCTTACTGGTTTGTATCTTCATAGTTGATTTTCAAAAAAGGTAAATTATTTTGTTAAAGCCAAACGATATGCTTATAAGCCAGCGTTTTCGGACTTTAGGGTTAAAATATATCTTAGTATTTTTTTAAAGGTAATCTTTTGAGTTATTTTGTACAGACCACTCATATACATTCGGGATACAGGGTGATGGCAACAGACACATGGACGAACCGGAACTGATTATACAAATAAATAGACCAATATCGATCGATTTTATACCCACATCCATTGGAAAATTTGTCCCAAAATACAAAATTGCATACTCTTTGTTCGGAAAATTCTGTAAGGACTTACCACACCGAGAATGGGACGGGACATGTTTATGGGTTAATGTAAAAGCAATACTTCTAAGGTTCTATCCTCATTTACTAATGTCTTATGTATTGGTATTTTGTCTTCTCAACCACCCTAATTTGTTTACTTTTATTTACCTCCTATTATATTGCATAATGTAATTAAACATTTAAATACCAATCAAATTCTTGGAATTATAATGTGATGGACATGTTTAGCGTTTATCTACATCAGAATCATATCACTATCAACAATAACCAAACACAGCCGAACTTAAGTGCTGTACATAAAAATATTTTTTTTTTTTTTTGTTTATTCCGAAACAGTGTTAACACAAATAACCTTAATTGGTTAAATGATTGCTAATTTATGTGCACTTGGTTGTTGGTCTTCAATTATTTTGAAAACATGAATGGCATGTTTAATTCGAATACTGAAGAAACCGTTATACGAGTATTTCGAAACAAATAATTATAATTTCTTTGTTTAGATTTAAACTAAGAAGATCACATTATTTTCATTTAATTGCATATATAATTCTGATTATTATTTTGAAATATTATAGATGAATCACTAGTCCATTAACGAGATATTTTATTGGCAGGTGTTATAAACTGGTTGACTAATAATGGGTGTGTAATTATGACTGATAAGATAATAGCAACGCGAAGGGTCGGAAACTGGAATATAGAAATTTTGCTCAAGGATCAATACTGACGTGTGACTACTAAAAAATATTTACAGGCCTTATATGTTATTCTGGGCCGATTTGAACAAATCTCAAGACCTATACTTTAAGACTCAATAATGTACGCTGTGCGGAATTTGTTCTCCATCTGACAAATAATGGGAGTTTGGTACATTATTTATAAGAAATTCGACGGAATTATATATGTGAGTTATAACTAAATCTGAACCGATCAAATAATATATATATATATATATATATGAGAGCCCAGAGGAAATGGCTGAAGCTACATACTTGAAATTTTGAGTGTGGGTTATTGTTGGTGTGTAGGTTTGAGATAAGGCAGGGTACGAAAATTACTAAAAGGTACGAAATTACTGGAAGGGTACGAAAATTACTAAAATGTACTTAATATGATACCCTTTGTATTAGACAAACGGTAGAAACTAGAATGTGGGTTGGGAAGTTAGAAAGATGTACAAAGGGTTTTTGAAAATTTCACCTATAAATTTAGTTCTAATAGTATATATATTTAACATATAGCTAGAATCCTGAAATTTTATGATTTCTAGAAATGGTTCTTTGGTACTAATTGGCACTAAATTTGGTACTATTTGTATTTATTTGAGCGTACAGTGATGGAATCCTGAAAATAGGAACTAACGGAGTACAGGATTGAATTAGCTTTAAAAAATCGTACTTATATGTACGCAAAGTACTAAATGGTACTCAATTTGGTACAAGTTGAATTAAGGTGAACAGATTGAGCTGGTTTCTTGAAATTGGAAATTAAAATAACTGTTGGAGTGTAACTTAAGGAATTCGTACTTATGTGTACGAAAAGTGCTAAATGGTACTAAATTTTGTACAATTTGGATTTTGGGTGAACGGATAGAGCTGAAAACCTGAAATTTGGAATTAAGATTACTTTTGAGGATTGAACTATGGAGACAGGTTTGGGAATTCGTATTTATATGTACGGAAAGTACTAAACAGAACTAGATTTGGTAAACATTTAGATTTGGGTGAAATTAGAGAGCTAGAAACCTAAAATTTGGAATAATGATTGCTGTTGGAGTGTAGAGTTGAGATATGGCATAATACTTATGTGTACAAAATGTACTATATTTGGTACAACTTGATTATGTGTTAAAGGATAGATTTGGACTCCAGAATTTAGTTTACGAAATTGATACTTATGGCAACAAAAAGTGCTAAATGATACCAAATATTTTGCAATTTGTTTCTGTGTGAGTGGATAGGGCTGAAATCCTGAAATTTGGGATTAAAACTAGTATATATGGGTTTTGAAATTTTTTTTTGACAGCACATTCATGATTTTTGGTACATAGGTTAAGGAAAATATGCTGATTCGAAATCAGTTCGAATCGTCTTCACAAAATCGGATGCTACGCACAAAAGTTAAAGCGGTTTTAAATCTTGTATTTCAAATATAAATTAAATGAATTTCTATTTGTTGTAATTTGCGAATTTCTTCACATTTCTTCATATTTGTCAAATCACATTGAAATACGGTTTAATAGTCGCGAAAAACAAATAAAACCAGTGAGCGGACCAATATAGTCGGACGGCCATATGACCATATGATACCCTACACAACTACCACGAAAAGCAAACTTTCTGCGGTTCTATATTCTGAGCCTGGGCAATATTTCGTGATATTTGCACTTATTTATATTTGGTCACTTTAGGTTTTTGTTAATTTGACCCTCGGAATATTGACCGAATAAACAGCCGCTCTAAGTATTTGGTCAGATACCCCTCACCTTGTAAAATATGTGATGTTCTGCATATAATAATTGCCTCTAGAGCGACTAGAAAATCTGACAAAATTAAAGTTTTTCGTTCATTGCACCCCCTGAATGGAATCTCAACTTCACCGAAAACTATAGGCGTCATCCTTGACCATAATCGGAAGTTCATGTACAATTTCAAAGCTATCAACGCGAAATTTCCGTCCTCTAATGAAGTAATAGTAATACAAGGCACATAGTCACCTTTACCTAATTACGGATAACTCCCATATCGGAGTACATACAGTCGTATAATTGGTATTAATTTGAAGGTCAACAACTCCTCTTGGATATACTATCAACTTCTTGGGTATATGCCCTTCAGGAGCAAGTATATATGCCCCAGAATAATGATTTTGTAATTTTTTCACACAAAAGTCAGGGTCCATTTGACCCGCTAAATATTGACCGATTTTCATCAAAACAGGCATGCTTATTCTTTGATCCGATCCCCTTCTCCATGCAAAAACTCGGGGTGTTTGGGAAATAATTGCGGCCTCTGGAGCGACCAGAAAAACCGACAAAAAAAGTTTTTGGTCCGCTTCATCCCCTAAATATTAATCGATCTTTTCCAAAAACAATAGGGGTCTTCATTGGCCAGAACCCATCCTACATGCAAAATTTCGTGAAGATTGGTAAATTACTGTGACCTGTATCGTGTTTACAAATTATAATGGACGGCCGGACGGACACACATGTCTAGATCAACTCAGCTAGTCGAGATATGACGATCGGTATACTTAAAGGTGGGTCTAGGACCAATATTTCGCGGCGTTACAAACTTTTGGGGCTGCAGAAAGCTATAATACCCTGACAACATAGTTGTGTAGGGTATAAAAATCATGAAAATATCTGAAAATAAATTAATTTTTGAATTTCCACAATTTTTTTTTTTTTCAAACAGTGAGCGGAGCAGTATAGTCGGACGGGGCCGACCATATGATACCCTACACAACTTCCTAGAAAATCTTACTTTGTGTGGTTCTATATTCTGAGTCTGGCCAATATTTCGCGATATTTGCACCCACTTGACTGACTAGAGGTCAACAAATATTACTAATATTCAGTATAGTCCATCTAATTACTTGTCCAGATTCCCTTCGCCGTGGCTTGTATTGTGATGTTCGGCTTTCAATTGTAGCCTATAGATAGAAAAAAAAAACACACACACACACACAAATTATATTTTCGGTCCACTTCATCCCAAAATTATTATCTGATCATCACCGAAAATTGTAGCATGTCCTTGACCATAACGGGAACCTCACGGAAGATTTCTAAGCGATCAGCGGTATATTTCGCCCCCTAGTGTGGTAATGGGTTACTAAATAATATCTGAGTACGTTAGCACCTGTAAAAATTTAAGTGTAACTCCCACATACGAGTGCACAGGACAATAAAATTTATATCAATTTAAAGGTCAACCACCCCTCTTGGGTATACTATCAACTTCTCGGGTCTATGCCCTTCAGGGGTAAATCTATACGCTATAGGATACAAATTTTGTAATTTTTCACACAAAAGTCAGGGTCCATTTGATCCGCTAAATATTGACCGATCTTTATCAAAACAGGCATGCTTATTCTTTGAATTATATGCAATATGTTCATATTTCGCGAGTTATAAGCTTGCAAACCTCAGTTTCAAGGAATTTGGAACATTTTTGTAATTTCCCATATATGTGGGAGCTATATGTAAATCTGAACCGATTTTTCACAATTTCAATAGGGCTCGTCCTTGGACAAAATAGATGAGCTTTGTCAAATCAAATTCGGATCATAAATGTGACCTGTACTTTCTTTACAATTTAACATGGAAAGACAGACGGACGGAAATGTATAAGTCGACTCAGAAAATGATTATGAAGAAATGCACTTAATTTCATCCTGACTTTCCAATATATGTATATATATATATATTTAACACAAAAGAAATACACAATTATTTGCATTTTATAATTGCCTTGCTATTCTTTATTAACATATAAGATGTTTGTCTTAGCTATTGCACACACACACATAGATCCTCAATTGAACTTCTTTAGTGTTTGGGCAATTGTGGAATATGTTCACCGGTGGGTTGGAAACCATGTTCATCGGCAACATATTGAACGGTATAGACCTTACCGTCATGTTTATCCTTCCACGAGAATTCACCATGAACAACAATGGCATGTTCATCGCCATGTTCACCCTTGACTTCTTTCAATTTGCCTTCTTCATGGCGGCTGGTGCCGTCACTGGTTTCAGCTCTACAATACAGGAGAAAATCATGTTTAGATTTGAACGAAAATCCAAAGTTTACCATTTCAACTTACACAAAGGAATAACCATCATGTTCAACATTGGAATCAAGTTTCACAATTTCGGCATGTTCACTATCAGGTCTGGGAGCAGCCAAGGCAATGGCAAAAAGAGCTGCAAAAACAATAAAGAATTTCATTGTGCTTCAAAAGAAAAATTGGATGTTAATTCGATGAAAGCAGAACTGTTTGTGTATAACTTCTAAGCGAAACAAAACGTCTTTATATATTTAGTGGTTATTATCTGGAATATCGTCAACTGCAGTTTGTTTGTGTTTTTTTTTTTAATTTCTTTCTTTGTTTGCAGCTGATCGTTCCACTGCCAACAATAGAAGAACTTGCCCAAAATAATTTTAATTTTATGCAATACTAAATTACACAATGGCACATTATCGAGTCATCTAAATTATAGCACAAAAAAAAACAAATAAATTCAGATCAGAATTATGTTAATTAATTTTATTTAAAAAATCCACGCTTCATCTTCAATAGTCTTAAAAAAAATATATATATATTAAAAAAATCCATGCCTATAGGTCCTTAAAGAAATCCTATGGAGTCTTCAAAAAAGGTGTATTTAAAAAACCCAATCCGATGGAGTCTTCAATAAAAATATATTAAACCGGTAAGGAATACCACTTTGGGTATATTCAACAGATGAATTATAACAGACGTCGCATTTTTGAAGGACCAGTTAACTGAAATTGGATCCATAAACATGTCATTCTGCAATCTATACTAAATTTTTCATTTGGTCAGATAAAGAGTTGCTTCTTACAATGGGACAAAATTATGTAAATCAAATATCAATCGGACACCCGTTGATTATTTGGATAAATTTCTGATAAAAACGAGGAGTTTGGTGCACCTATATCTAAAGCTGAGCCGATTTCAAGGAGACTTGCCAGTGATTAATTTATATTAACTACAGTTCATTGTACAAAATTGTGTGACAATCGGACAAACTTTGGGTATTTAGTGCACAATTTAAATAAATTCAGAACAAAAATTATATAGGAGCTATATCTAAATCTGAACCGATTTCCACGAAACTTAGCACACATCATGCTAGTCTTTATTCAGTACGCTATGCCAAATTTCGTGCAAATCGAAGGATGTATAGAGACTTTGGTACACCATTTACCTTTAATCGGACGAAAATATATGGCAGCTATGTCTAAATCTGGAACGATTTTCAGGAAAAATAACACACAACGTTCTTGACCAAATTCATTACACTATGTCAAAATACGTGCAAATCGAAAGATATATAGGGACTATGGTGCACCATTTACATAAAATCGGAAGATAATATATATGGGAGCTATATCTAAATCTAAACCCATTTTCGGGAAACTTTGCACTCATCATTCTGGGCCTAATTCAGAACTCTATGCCAAATTTCGTGCAAATCGAAACATATATAGCGAAAGATAAATCTGAACCGATTTTCACGAAACTTAGCACACATCATTCTTGACCTAATTCAGTACCCTATGCCAAATTTCGTGCAAATCGAGGAATGTATAGGGACTTTGGTACACCATTTACCTTAAATCGACGAAAATATATATGGCAGCTATATATAAATCTGAACCGACTTTCAAGAAACTTAGCACACATCATTGTAGGCTTATTTTAGTACGATATGCCAAATTTTGTGCAAATCGAAAGTTATATAGGGACTTTTATGCACTATTTACATTAAATCGGACGAAAATATATATGGGAGTTATATCTAAATCTTAACCGATTTCCAAGAGACTTAACACACATCATTCTACACTTAATTCAGTACCCTATACCAAATTTCGTGTAAATCGAAAGATATATAGGGACTTTGGTGCACCATTTACATAAAATCGGAGGAAAATATATATGGAAGCTATATATAAATCTGAACCGATTTTCAAGGAACTTAGCACACATCATTGTAGACCTAATTCATTACCCTGTACCAAATTTCGTGCAAATCGAAGGATGTATAGAGACTTTGGTACACCATTTACCTTAAATAAGACGAAAATATATATGGGAGATATATCTAAATCTAAACTGATTTTGTTTCCCATAGGGTTCGTCCTTGGGCCAAATAAGTGACCTATGCCAATTTTCGTCCAATTCGGATCATAAATGCGACCTGTACTTTGTTTACAATTTAACATGGACAGACAGACGGACTGACGGACGGACGGACAGACGGACATGTATAAATCGACTTAGAAAGTGATTCTATGCATATTATCAAAAGGAAACATGTGTCTATCTCGTTTCCTTTTGCCTTTTACAAACATGTGCACAAAGACATAATACCCTGTACTACAGTGTGGTGAAGGGTATAAAAATCCACGCCTATGGAGTCTTCAATAAAAATATATATAAAAAACCAGTAAGGAAAGTAGTAAAGTCGGACGGGGCCGACTATATGATACCCTTCACCACTTTGAGTATATTCAACAGATGAATCCTAACAGAAGTCGCATTTTTAAAGGACCAGTAAAATGAAATTGGAACCATAAACACGTCATTCTGCAACCGATACTAAATTGTTCATTTGGTCAGATATAGAAGCTATATCTAAATCTGAACCGATTTCAGGAAACTTAACACACATCATTCTAGACCTAATTTGTTACGCTGTGCCAAATTTCGTGCAAATCGAAAGATATATAGGGACTTTGGTGCACCATTTACATTAAATCTGACGAAAGTATATATGGGAGCTATATATAAATCTGAACCGATTTTCAGGCAACTTTACACACATCATTCTAGACCTAATTTGCTACGCTGTGCCAAATTTTCTATGCATATTCTCAAAAGGAGCCATGGGTCTATCTCGATTATTTTTGCATGTTACAAACATATGCACAAAAACATAATACCCTGTACCAGAAAAAAGAATTTGGTTCAAGAACCTCAAAACCTGGGGGCTACCAGAAAAAATTGGCCAATATTTATAATTTATAGTGGAGAGATGTGCTACCTAATAAGAACTCGACGTACTAAATTACAGTCAATTTGGTTGAAAAATCCGATCAGAACCCCCAAAATACCAAAAATTTTGGGGTACCGTTATATGGGTACTACCAGAAAAACTGGACCTATATTTATAATTTTTAGTGGAGTAATTTGGTACCCAATATGAACCCAATGTACAAAATTTCAGCGAATTTAGTTATAAAACGAGCCCAAAAACCCGAAAATACCGAAAATTGGGGGTGCCCTTATATGGGGGCTATCCGAAAAAATGGACCTTTATTTATAATTTTTGGTAGGGATATTTGCTACCCAATAAGAACTCAATGTACAAAATTTCAGCGAATTCAGGGCTTCAAAATACCGAAAAAATTGACCTTTATTTATAATGTTTGGTAGGGAGATTTGCTACCCAATAAGAACACAAAGTACCAAATTTCAGTGAATTCGGTCGAAAAATGCGATCAAAACCCCCAAAATACCGAAAATTGGGGGTAATCTTATATGGGGGCTATCCGAAAAAATTGACCTTTATTTATAATTTTTGGTAGGGATATTTGCTACCCAATAAGAACTCAATGTACAAAATTTCAGCGAATTCAGTTAAAAAACGCGCTCAAGAACCTCAAAATACCGAAAATTTGGGGGTACCCTTATATGGAGGCTATGCGAAAAAATGGACCGTTATTTATAATTTTTGGTAGGGAGATTTGCTACCCAATAAGAACACAAAGTACCAAATTTCAGCGAATTCGGTCGGAAAATGCGATCAAAACCCCCAAAATACCGAAAATTGGGGGTAATCTTATATGGGGGCTATCCGAAAAAATGGACCTTTATTTATAATTTTTGGTAGAGAGATTTGCTACCCAATAACAACTCAAAGTACCAAATTTCAGCGAATTCAGATAAAAAACGCACTCAAGAACCTCAAAATACCGAAAATTTTGGGGTACCCTTATATCGGATCTATGCCTAAACCTGGACCGATTTTCTCCAATTTCAATAGGGTTCGACCTTGGGCCAATTAAGTGACCTGTGCCAAATTTCATCCAAATCGGATCATAAATGCGACCTGTACTTTGTTAACAAAAATACATGGACGGACGGACGGACAGACGGACGGACAGACGGACATGCATAAATCGACTCAGAAAGTGATTCTATGCATATTCTCAAAAGGAACCATGAGTCTACCTCGATTATTTTTGCCTGTTACAAACATATGCACAAAGACATAATACCCTGTACCACAGTGTGGTGAAGGGTATAAACATTCCTATGGAGTCTTCAATAAAAGTATATTTAATCAGTAAGCGGAGCAGTATAGTCGGGCGGTGCCCACCATATGATACCCTACACAACTACGAAGGAGTTCCAACTTTCTGCGAATGTTTATTCCGAGCCTGGGTAATATTTTGTGACATTTGCACCCTCTTGCAAGATTAGAGATCAACAGCACCTCTTCCATACACTGGCATATTTTCCGAATATTTCTAATATTCAGTACAGCCCTTCTAATTACTTGTCCAGAATGTCTTCACCGTGGGTTGTATGGTGATTTTCGGCTTATAATTGTGGCCTATAGATCGATTCGAAAAAATAAGTTTTCGGTCGACTTCATCCCAATTTTTTTATCTGACCATCACCGAAAATTATAGGCGCTGTCCTTGACCATAACTGGAACCCCATGGAAAATGTCAAATCGATCAGCGTTATATTTCCGTCCTCTACTGTGGTAATGGGTTACTAAAAAATATCTGAATACGTAAGCAACTATAAATATTAAATATAACTCCCTCATCCGAGTACATACGACAATATAATTGGTATCAATTTAAAGGTAAACCACTCCTCTTGGATATATTATCAACTTCTCGGTTCTATGTCCTTCAGGAGTAAATATAATACAAATTGTTATATATAATACAAATTTTGTCATTTTTCACACAAAAGTCGGGGTCCATTTGGCCCGCTAAATATTAACCGATCTTTATCAAAACATGCATGCTTATTCTTTGGTCCAATCCCTTTCTCCTTATAAAAATTCGTTATGTTTGGGCTATAATTGCGGCCTCTGGAGCGACCAGAAAAACCGACAAAAAATTAGGTATTTGGTCCATTTCATCCTCTAAATATTAACCGATCTTTACCAAAAACAATAGGGGTTCATTGGGC